ACTGATAGCTTTATAAAAATTCAAGTCTTAACATAAGTCCGATACACCACTAGTATTAAAAAATTCCCCTTATTTACTGTTAAAAAAAAATACTTAGCTCATAATGCACAGCTGTATTTCTTACTGAGCTATCCATTTACATTGGTTTTTTTATACCAAATAGCTACTGGTCTGACTATAGACCATTCTTTAATGCCATTAACCTAATACAGCTCATAGTCAAACGTGGAAAACTGCATAGTAAGATTTCCTGTTGTGGGAACTGAAACTAGATTTGTTCGGGCTAGAATAACAGGCCATTGTTGACCCCATGACTAAGCCTGTCTGTAATGTTTTATATTTTTACTTTCCTAAATGCTTCCTGTCACCATTTACTACCACCACTGCCACCTCTGCTCTCATTAACAAACTTTGAATGTGGGTTGGGGCAAGATTTCAGTGCAGCACAATGTGACATGATTGATAGTTTGCCTGTGTACACATGACCAGAGCTATGGTAATGAACTGGTTAGTGTTCTTGTCTGCCATGCCAATGGTCCAGATTTAGTACCCAAAAGAGGCTTTTAGTATTCTATGTCACCTTACCACATATGGTCTAGAACAGTGTTCCGCAACCTTTTAACACTGTTGCCCACCAAAACAGGGAAAATTGTTTCACTTAGCCCACCTGACAGCTAGCCAAATAGCTAACCTCAGATACAAAAACAAATGTAGATAGTTTATTTGTTAAATCCAATGTTTCATAATTACACTTTTCAGCTCATGTGACATCTGCTGCTGCTCAGAGGTTAGAGGTTAATAGACGAAATGCTGCATTAACATCCATTTGATTCTCTGTTTTTAGTAACTTTCACTGCAGGAATTAGTACCTGTTTTATTCTCATCTGGGAGGTGTTTATCCTACAAGCTGCAATCCTGGAAGAGAAAAACTACCTACCCAATCCCATATCATGTTCCAGCAAACATTTCTAGTGGCCGATATGAACTTTCCTGTGGCCCAGCGGTTGAAGAGACTGATCTAGAATATCAGAATGCAAAACACTTCACATGAAGAATCCCAAACACTTCACACGCTGTCAGCAGTATCTGCTTTGAAACTATCTTTACACATGAATATAAAACTTATTGGTGGCTTTAAAAAAATGATCCCTTTTTTGGGCGGTCATTAGCTCAGGGCTGTGGTAGCATAGCAGTAGCAAGATGCTCACCTGCAAGCAGAAGGTCTTGGGTTTGAATTTGCGTTGAAACCAGTTTTGTTCTAAATTAACCTTGGCTTCTACGTTGTCATCATCATCATCCTCAAGTGCCTTGCTGACTGGCGTGGGCAATCATACCTCCATGATTTGTAATCCTCAACATGTATCAGTTCATGTGCTGACACTCCTCCATGTCATGACAAAAGGCTGTCAAGAATCGTCTCCTATAGTCTTCCTCTGACTCTTTTTCCCCATATATCTTTCAAGTTTTCACAAGGTGTTCCTTCGTCTCCTAACATGATCAGAAAATGACGACTGTCTCTTCTGATGTTTGTGATAAGTTTTCTTCAAACCTTCACCTCTTTCAAAACTAGGTTGGCCGTCCAGGGAATTCTAAGGATTCTTCTGTAAAACCACATCTCTGAGGCTTCAAGTAATTGTCTGGCTTGTTTATAATTGTCCAGGATTCTGAGACGTATGTAAGAACTGGCTCTGTATAATATAGCTTTCTAGAATTCATTTACATAGTGGTGGCATTGCCAAGTTGTCTAAGGCGCTGGTTTTAGGCACCAGTCTTTTCGGAGGCAGGGATTCCAATCCTACCAGTGCCAAACTTTCATCTGAACATAAAATTCTTTATTGATAAAATACAACTGCTGGGTATTTGGAAGTGTTGAATGTAAGTCTGGTCTGTGTGCCCAATTTGTGACCGTTTGAAAATAAAGTTTGTTCCTAACATCCATTGACATTAATTTATTGCATACAACTTTCTTTATTTTATGAAATGCAGTTTTAGCCTGTCCTATTCTGTTCTTTATCTCTGTAATGCATCTTCGGTCAGATGTTATCCATGTGTCTAAATACTTAAATGTCTGTACGTGTCCTAAAATGACGCCTTTGACTTTTTATTATGCATTTAGACATTATTTTATAATATTTTACATTTACTTCTGTCTTATGATTATTAAAATTGAAAACTATTTTATCACTTTCATCAACGGTTTCCACTTTTGCCATTATTGCTTGATGGATAGAGTGTTTAGCCATTAAGCTAAGCGCCGTGGTGAAGAATAGTTGTTGATCCATTGAAGCGTTGTGGGGAGGAATATATTTTGATCCATTGTTTAATCATCATGGGGAGGATAAGTTTTTGATCCAATAAACTATGTCTTTGGGAGGAGTAGTTTTTGATCCATTGTTCAATATTACCCGTGAGTTCCAGGGCCACGTGTTTGAGGAAAGAAAAAAAATAGATCCACTGCCACCTAAACAGCATGTTGTTTTTTTTTTTATCGATCACCGGCTGTGAATTCCAGTGGAAAGTCCCGGTTAATCGTCCGCTTGGACTTTTGGCTTTCACCTGGACCTGATTTTTGCGTGTACAACCGTTTTTCATTTCCCTGCCTCATGGGCAGCAGTACTCCGACTTCGAAGGAAGACGTCAGGCCTATTTCTAGGTTGACTGTTTCCATTGTTTTGTGTGGGTCGTGACGTTGCCTGATTTGTGTCGTGTCCACTTTGTCCCCTTCGCCGCAGGTATTGCCCTCGGAGTACCCCTTTGGGGCAGCCCCCTGTGGAACAGTTAGCCCTCAAGGGAAGGCAGGGGCAGATCATGGGCATTCCCCGCCATCCAAGGAGGCTTCCATGCATGCAGAGCCGGCACATGGCGCTCTGGTTCTGGGCTCACCCAAGGAATCGTCACGTCCTGCACATGCCTGCTTAACCTCACAACCGTATCAGGCCTCCCGCTCGACAGGGGCTGCGCCCTCTGGAAGTCAGCGGGGAGCAGCCCGTGTTTTGGACTTTTGTGACCACACAGATAGGTACATTCTTTTTTCCTCGCACGTTAGATTTCTTTGACGAGCCGTTAGCCCGACAGAATTTACGTCCTGATCAGGCATATCGTTATCAGTTTTGTCCCAACACTCGGGCGAGTGGGGTCTTTGGGGTTGTTGACATTCAGGTTCAATACAAATTTTTGATGGTCAGATTTTGATCCGTATGATCTAGTTTTGTCGGACAATTAGGCTTGGCCATCGATGGTTGGTTGCTGTTGTGGTGTACCTCAGCGCGTCGGTGACGACGACACTGAGGGTTAACCGAGGATGTACAAGGATGGCCAGCCTATGGATGGGTTGCTGTTGTGGTGTACCTCAGCATACGACGACACTTAACAGAGGATGTGCAGTGAACAATGTTCTCTTTTACTCCGCAGTCTTTTGATGTTCCTAATGAGTTTTGGTAACATTTTTCACCCAAGCGTTTGGGGGCGGGTTCAAGGACACATCACCTCTGGGGGCCGCCGAACTCCGAGATCCCCTGACAGCTCTGTTAATGCTCATTTGAGACATTATCCGTGGCGCACACGAGGACGTGCTGTAGGGGTTTGAGGTTCCGTACAACCAGGATAGGAAAGGACTGGCGCCGGGAACGTAAATCTCCTTATACACATCAAGTTGGACTTAACTTCCCCTCACGCCTGTGACATAAATCACCGCGCCACACAGCATGTTGTAAAAGGCGACTTATTAGGACTTTATTGAAATAAGATGTGTTATGGTGAGAGGTGCAGAAATCGCAACCTAGCTATAAACCACAACACAGCGTGCCAACCGCCCATTTAAGCGCTGAAGAATTTTTTTCGCTCTGCATTGAATCGAACACCGGTCACCGGCGTAACAGGCCAAATACTTACAACTGTACTACTGAAAAACTGAAGACTTTGGTTCAAATAAAATTATATAATAACTCGAAGCATAGTTCGCTGAGTTCCTATTCCATATTTTTTAATATATGACCTCTTGAGGCACTGAATGGGATTTTTTACAGTCAATAATTCAGAGTGCCGATGCACCATGTTTCCCTTTCCTTTTATCTTGACTCCAGTAACCTTTAAAGAGACATTTCCTGCAGCCTAAAATTGGTGCCAGTTAAAAGTTCTTGGAAGTGAAGGCTGTTGGTAGGATATTGACCACGTCACTCATGGGTTGCTAATTGGTCTACAGAAATGCGTCTGACATCATAAGCCCAGTGTGCCATTGGCATAAAGAGATTCCATTATTTTACCTTAGCTCAGAAAGACATATAATAATAGTCTACAAGATGGGACGGGCGTTGTTTTCTAATTAGAAATTTGATTGATTTAAATGTCTAGTAAGCAAAGAAGTATTGCTCTTACAATCAAATGATTTTTTTTAAACTTATATATTTTTAACATATGGCTGTGAATCCTGGACAATAGGTAGGCAGGCCAAACAATTTCTTGAGGCCTCAGAGATTTGGTTTTACAGAAGAATGCTTAGAATACTTTGGACAGCCAAAATGAGCAACCAAGAGGTTTTGAAAGAGGTGGGAGCCCGAAGACAACTTATCACAGACATCAGAAGGAGACAGTCAGCATTTTTCGGCCATGTTTTGAAAAGAGGGAAAATAGAACATGTTATGACTACTGGAAAGATCTGTGGAAGGAGGAATAGAGGAAGACAACGAGAGAAGATTCTTGACAGTCTTGTTGCATGGCATGTAGGTGTGTCAGCACACGAACTGATACACGCTGCAGAAGTTTGTGGATTATGGAGAGGCATGATCGCCCATGCCAGTCGGCAAGGCACCTGATGGTGATGATGATGATGATATTTTTCACTGGCTAGTTAAGCATTATTTTTGTCATTGTCAATATTTCTCATCTCTGCACAGCGTCGACACTGTGGCCACCATTCATCCACTGTACATACATCGGTGACTGATTGCTGGCAGCAGACACTGTTCAAATCTTTGTGAGGTAACAGGATATCAAGCTCAATCATGCCGTTGTTTGGACCAAGGACCAAAAGTCCCCAGGAGCTTGTACGCTCGCTAAAGGAAAACTTGCTACAGTTGCCGAATCTAAAAGAAAAAGAGTACAAGAAGGTAACTGTTTTATGGTATTTTTCTCTACCATATGAAATGAAGAGAAATAAGACTAAGTGTGCCTCCGCACCGAGCAAGAACTAATACCTTTTTCTTCTGTGTTGGCCAGCTGTAATCTCTTACTAAAAGTCCTGGCTTGTTGTTCGTGTCCGGCCTTTATTAATGTTTCTGGACTTGAGTGTTGTATCACATCATTTTCAGATCTGGCTTATTTCTTATTTGTTGGCCTTTTCTTGTAGAGGCAGTGCGACTTTGATGGAAACAGATCTGTCTCATCTATGTTGGCCCTGGTAGAGAAACTATTCTTAGAATGACCATGTCGTGTAGTTAAGTCTTCATCTGTATGAGAGTCCTGGTCCTGCTGCACCACCACAGATGGTGATGCAACTCTGCAGCTTCTATACACATCAGTAAACTACTGGAACTACTGGACACACATGATTCTGTTTTAGAAAGATCGACAGTAAATTATCATAATACATGAAAGGGGGTCTCCTTGGCAAAGTGATCAAGCCATTTGCCACACGCTCTGATTGTTGCTGGAGCTACAAAGTAGGTGCTTTGTGCCATGCTCTCGGCAGGCGGCTAGCCATTCTGCAGAGGTAGACTGAGCCATATGGGATAAAAATCTGGTGCAATGAAGTCGATCCTCTAGACTTTAACCTTTTAATGTAACATAAAGAGCAGCTAATACCATCATGACTTCCAAAAACATCTGTCCTCTTGATAAGTTGATCTGGCACTTTGCCAGTTCATTAAAGATTTTCTCCTCCCTCCTTATAAAAACTTATCCAGCCCCCCCCATCTCATAATATAACCCCTCACCTCCCCCCCCCCCAAAGATAATTTTAAAAAAAAAGACGACAAGATGTAGATAATCAGATGTCAATGGGAATTGTAACTATGTGTGAGCATAGTTGAGCTGATACCAAGAAGTAAACTAGTTACACAATGACTAGAACGCTGAACTGAGGAGTGACTATTTAATTTTTATAATTTAACTCCTTGTTTCTTTTTGTGATAGCTCTTTCTGGTAATATTTTCGCATATTACATATGATGATTATTTAAATAGTTGCTCTTTTTTCATTAATAAAATCTTAAGTCAAAACACTTGTGCACTTCTTTTTCTTCCCCTCTGTTGAGCTTTCTGTCAAAGCTTGTTTTGTATACAATTCATTAGAGAAACCTGATTTATGTGGTGTCCAATTTCTTGTTACCTGTTACTTGTTGTCGATATTGGCATCTCAGCACATTAGTCCAACTATTTCATGCTGTGTCTCAGATGCAGTAGCAGTCACAGTGTCTCCATGCTCATCATACCCTGTAGGAGTTGATTGGCATATCTTATTTCTTTACCCCGCTACCAGTTTCTACATGCTTGTCCTTTTTGGCAGGCAGTTAATGTCTGCCCTGTCCATACTTCTTCCTCCAGTAACTACTGCAAACATGGCCAGTCTGTGTGCTCTTTAATTTCCTTCAGTTGTTTCTTTCTACTCTCACTGTTCATGATTCATACGCATACAATCCTTAAACTTTATTTTTGACTTCAGTGGACTGGTATAAGTTACAGAGAATGGACTTAGCTTTACCTATGTTACTTTTTTTAAGACATAAGAGACTTTTCAGTTGCTGTTGGTTTATGTTTTAAGGTTGTGTACATTTAGTGCAAAGTTAAGCATATTTTTTTAAATAACAATTACATATATGCTATTATAGTTTGGTGACAATTATCTGATTATGGAAAAATTGGTAGTGAAAAATAATGTTATATTCGATAAAATGAGTAATAAGCAATTGTCGGCTGGTCTGCTTGTGTTGGAAGCCAGTATTGTATTGTTTGGCATGACTATCTCTTCTTGTGAATTCCGGCATGTGAGATTTACACAAAAATGTGAGGTTTTTTTTTTTAAAGCAGTTACCAAATTTTGGGGGGACAGACTTACTGCCCCTAACAAGAATGTTGTCAAAGTCCAGAAATTAGGGATGTCTCCTTCAAAGTTGGAGTGCATCTGCCTGAGAGGCGAGGAACCAACAGTCTGCATACAAATAAGTCAGATCTATCAAATAAATGTGCGCACAAAACTCAGTTCTGGGGCAAGACCAAAGTTTAGAACTGGATGAACAACAAGAACTTTCTGCCCGAATTTTCATCCATTCAGTGTGAAGAAGAATGATCTAAGACTGAAGATTGGAGCACAGAGTTATATCTTTTTGCTGTAAATATTGATCTTTTACTGAAAGCCATAGATATTTACCCGCAACTGGAGTGTGGATTTTGGAAGGATGCAGATAATATCGTGGAATAGTAGAAAATACGCGACTGTCCCGTTCAAGAAAGATGAAAGTTATAGACTGATTTTAAAATTTTGACAGTTTTTCTGAAAATTTATGAGAAGGAATTGACTCGAGAACTTTGTAACAACTTGCAGGATTGATTTGAAAGAAAGGGAGTGAAAGGCAGTGAGATCAAATACCTGTGTGGCTTAGCCATAGGGAGACAAGAATGCTGACATGATCAGTGATTGTGATGAACCTGTGGAATGACGAAACATGACAGCCAATGTTTATCAGCATGGCACAAAATGGTGATAATAGTTTTCCCCACACAATACCTGCCTTGTGAATTATGTGGTCTTTTTAATATTCACTATATTTGTAATCCGCCATCCCAGGTGAGCGAAGAGGTCTCCAGGACGCTTCAGTCGATAAAGACTTTGTTGTACGGCACAGTTGACCAGGAGCCCGCTACAGAACAGGTGGCCATGCTGTCTACTGAAATGTACCAGAGCAACACACTGCTATTGCTAGTGCAGAATCTTGCCCGAGTTGATTTTGAGGTTCGCTTAATGTTCTTTGTGTCATTTTGTGCCTTCACCCAAGCTTAAGGGTGTTGAAATATGTCAGTTTATGGTTATAATATCACTTGGTCCTGATGTCCATATAAGGTAGAGTGTATAACAAATGTATCTGTCTCTTTTTTAACAGGATCTTACCATACCTTGTTTTCACAGGATTAAAGTACATCAAGTCAATTTACCTGACAAGGGTTATTAGAGACAGTGTTTGAAATGTATTGTTATTGATCAAACAGCACATGAAGTGTACAGTGATCAGTGGTGTGTTGGCCACTTTTATTTTCCCACAGTATTCATGTGACTTGGCCATACATGAGGCCTTACTGGTGGAAAACCTGCTATTCCATGGGGTCACTACTTAGAACCAAGCCCAGGACCATTGTTGATCTTTCAATGCATTAATTACTACTACAGTTCCCTTTATAAGGTGAAAGCCTTTCATGACAGTTTCCATCATTCTGTGAAATGCTAATATTTGTTCCTCACACCAAGTTCACTGAGGTGAGTGCTGGACTGTTTATGTTGGCAAATCTGATGTATACATTATGCACTTAATGCGTGTGTATACTATTGACTTTGCTGAGACCACAGTCAGGGTTATGTTAGATGTTTTTGTTTTGTTACAAGGATTAATGATGGACATTCTGTGGGGGTTTTGTGGGTACAGGAATGGAATAACTATGGGGTGACCTGCTATGAAGTTGGAACTGTGATTACCTTGTTACCTGAGATGAGGACGACAAGTTTCCTTGTCACTGCACTGTGTCCTTCTTCATGCACATTTGTTTACAAACACCATCCTGCAGGCTTAGTATAGTTTGGTCCATTGGCTGTTGAGACATTAAAAGATGTTTGTTGTGCAACATGATGAAACTATTAGTTTCTATATATTTGTGTAAAACTCTTTTACCTTTTAAGTAGCTAGAGAAGGAATGCGTTATCCTTTTTTTTTAAGCTGAGTGTTTTGGGAAAATTAATGGCTAAATTACTATACATCTAATTACATTTATTTGTACCTGTTTATTCATTTATCTTTACTGAGGTCAGTAGGTTCTACTAAGTAGTCATTAGCACCATTTGGTCGTTTACTATGAAATATCATTTGCAGACTTTGAACATTAAGAACTTTTGATTAAAGGATGGACAAGGCTTTTGATTATAATAAATTTGCTTATTAACATGTCTCTTTCTGGGAAGTAAAGGTGGATGACGTGATGCTAAAACCACACCACCCACCAAGTGCCAATTGATCCAGAAAATATAGGTCTAGCACTATATGCCCAGTATGTTTACCTCTTTGAGTCCCAGAGGGTTTAGCATCACAGGCCCAATGGGTAGTCAAGAGACACGTAAAATTGACGCATTATGCGTTCATTGGGCTTCTAGACAGTAACGTATGAACATATGATGTGTTCCTTGGGACTCAAAGAGTTAATGGTGTGGTAGAGAGTCCTTCACTTTTTACCTAACTTTTCCCCATGTTTTAACCATCATGTATAACACTTTGTGTTTATTATTATCTTCTGTGTTCATATGTTTCTTAAATTTGTTTTTTTCCATTCTAGGGCAGAAAAGATGTTGTTGCCATTTTCAACAACTTGTTGCGGCGACAGATTGGTACCAGAATGCCCACAGAGGAGTATATATGCATGAACCCTACACTTCTGATAGACCTTGTCAAGGGGTAAGCTTGCCTAGGAAATATATGTTTAATACTGAATTGTTGTTGATGCAAAGAATCAACTGTCTACACACTGAGATCATTCTCTGTCATCAAAACATTACAGCTGGTTTATTTGCCGTTGTTACGTCTCTGCAGTAGTCCGCTGCCCAGCTCGATGCACACACATTTTACATTTATTAGAGAATGGATGCTATTTAACTACACGTGTAAACATACAGTAATATATTTAATAAACACAGACAGAATTGGTGCAAAATAAAATACTACTTGTAACCAATAACTACATATTGCTAAATGCTTACCTGCAAACTCTTGGGTTTGAATCCGCATTAAGTCAGTTTTATCCTTCAGAATTGACCCTGGCTCCCAGGTCGACCTAGCCTAAATTGGTATCAATTAATATCCTGACAAATAAAGATGACCTAGTTGTGCATTAAAAAAATTTTTCGATGATGCCTTTGTCAAGAGGTGGGTTTTTAAAGTTGTGTTTGGTGGCTAAAATTTCAGTATCACTTTGGTGTGATGGCCTACGGATGAATGGCCAGGACACTTGTCTGTTCTCAGGAAAATAGGCCATTTCCGCTATCATCCCTGCAGATTTATTTGATCTCTTAAGTTATGGTTTTCATTGAATATCAATAATGAGCATTAATTCTACAGAGAGGACTTTGGGGCCAGTGAATCCACATCACTCGCCAGAATGGCAGACATAATTAAGATCGGCACACCAGAAGACTTGTTAATCAACATAGAACTAGTACTATTAGCCGTCGGACGTTGGGGTTCATACTGAGGGAAGGATCTGAGCACCTATGGACATGTCCGGAGTGCAATGATGATAACCTAACTAACTTACTAACTAACTAACTAATCTACACAGAACAAACTAAGAACATAGGACAGCTTTGAGACACTGTCTGAGATGATGTCACTTGTCTTGTTTTCAGTTATGAAATTCAAGAAATTGCCCTGAACTGTGGCATGATGCTCCGGGAGTGCTGTCGGTATGAGTCCCTGGCCAAAATTTTGCTAAATTCTCCAGAGTTCTACAAGTTCTTTGAGTATGTTGAAGTGTCTACTTTTGATATTGCATCAGATGCATTTTCCACTTTCAAGGTGAGTTTACGGGACATTTAACATGTTATGATACGATTACATTATTCATTTTTAGAATTTTTGGTTGCCTTTGACAACATAAATGTGTAGGAGGGGGCAGTGGGTCTATTTTTTCCCCTCTACCAAAATTGGGCCTGAAACCAGGGGTGGGTTAAAAGTAAACTCAGTCCTTTGTCTGAAAAGTCTGGACAGAAATTCTGTTTATCTTAGTGTGAATCTTGTCAAGCGATGCAAGCTACTTATTTTAAGAAGCCTCCTGTATAAGTCCGTTACATTTACAACATGTCGGGCTGCACTGCTCTCCTGCGATTGAAAAGCTGCTGCTGCTGCTGCCTCACCTCCATTCTTGTGATGTTACACGATAGGCTCCTGGAAAAGCTAACCCAAATGCCAAAATCAGTGCAAAGCGGTCTGCTGCCAAATCGCCCCAGCCAGAATGAAATCTAGGAAAAATAAGCCACATTTGCAACCCTTAAGCCACAGAGAGCGATTGTGTGCAACTCCTGTAATCTGTCTGATAATACCGTTTCTAATTCGGTCATGGATGGTTAAACCAAAATGAGAATCGTCAAGTGTTATGTATAGTTAATCCTTTTATAGGTGAAGAAACTTGGACAATGAACAAGCAGCTAGAAAATGGAATTGAGTCTCTGGAAATATGGGTATACAGAAGAATAAATCATATTTCATGGAAACAAAAACTCAGATTCAGAGGTTCTGGAAAGACTACAAATGAAAAGAGAATTACTGAAAGAAATAAAAAGAGACAATTAAAATACTTTGACCACATTAAGAAACAAAACAAGCTTTTAAAAAACATACTGGAGGGAAATGTTGAAGGCAAGAGAGCGAAATGTGGGCAACGATGCAAGCGGGAGGACAACATCAAGAGATGAATAAACAGCAGTCTGAGAGGGTGTACAACCAGGACAATAAACAGAACATGTTGCAGATCCGCAGCCAACCTTCGCCGTGGAGATGGCATCTGATTGATTAATTGACACTGACAGCTTTCCTCCAGTATAAACAATACAGTGTAAATAAGCTTGGGAAGGAATTTAGTTTTTTTGGGTCTAGCCTTACTGAGCGGAGTGTCGCGGGTTGATCCCCCCGTCTCTGTGCTATCAGGGCGCGCTGGAAATAGCTTGCACTTTGTGACTCATCATATTCCCCCCTGTAGAAGTGTGGGGGCCCCAGTGTAGGGGAGATGGCTGAGAAGATGATGCTCCTGCAGCCTCAGAACCATTTATTTCATAGTCGTTATATTGTGTGCAGAAAACAAAAGAATTTACTTGATCGTTAGAAGCAGACTGACTAAAGGTAGAATTTACATAAGAATTAACCAGGAAGGCTAACTCAGCAACATATTCCTGCAGAAGTCAGATGTGTCAATCTAAAGGCACAATCTACAATTATTTCTTCAACACCTCCTGTCCTAAATCATGCATAGTTTAGTATGACCATCTAGGGGTCTTACTGACTTAAGCTAATATACTGTTCAAAACAAGAAGCTGTTCTTATCCAAAGGTATGTTTCTGTTAGTTGACGGGAAAGCCCATGTGTCCAAAAACTATTGATCATCCAGATGCAGAAGAGCCAATTGATTGGTTCAACTCTAAGGAATTCTTATGCGCAGTTTGAACAGTCATTAAATTACAAAGATTTTGAATGACAGAATTATATCCTTCTCAGTAGCTGTGCATTTCTTTTTGAATAGTATACCATTTTTTTATGGACAGAATGAGTTAGAGTAATACATGCGATACAGAAAACAGGTGAATTGAATCAGAAGCATGGAAATGAATTACGTGTATAATATAATCAGTGAACGTGCAGTGAGTTGACTGGTACTGAAAGAGTTCAAGGCTGTGCACTCAGTTGCTCATCTGTTTGAACCAAATGTTTCTTCTCATGTTTCAGGAGCTGTTGACAAAACACAAGATGTTATCTGCCGAGTTCCTGGAACATAACTATGATGAGGTGTTCTCTTATTACCAGACACTTTTGAATTCTGAAAATTACGTCACGCGTCGACAGGCGCTCAAGGTCAGTTTTAGCCCCAGCTGATCATTGCTTGTTATACCACCATATTGCATCAGCGTTTATTTATTATTGAAATGCAAAGGGGTCATTTCAGGTCAGTGACACTAAGCTCCTTTCTGTATAGACCAGTGGAATGTGTGATTTAGTTCATACCGACCACATCTACTTTCCAGGATGTTTTTATAGCATGTTTGTTGTTGTTGTCACCTTTCAGTCTTTGCAGATGATCGTGTTATGTTGTGCTATGGGGAGGCATGGGCTTTGTTTCCAAGACGGTTGAGGCCGGGGATGAAGTTCCTCCTTTCCATAGCACAAAGCCTGGGGAGTAGTGTAGAGCACCATGTGTTGTCCATGCATATTGATAGTATTTTTATTTTAGACTAAATGTCACTATGTTAAACACTCATTTGAATGATGAGAAGGCCCTGGACAGATAAAAAGAGTAATAAAGATGTCTTGAAAGAAAGTGAATGATGAAGAGAACTGATTGTCGGCATCAGAAGGAAACAATCTATAAGCTTTGTTCATGTCATAAGGAGGAGAAAAACTGGAGTATGTCATGTCGGTAGGGAAAGTTGGTGGGGAGGGGGGGGGGGCGCGGGGAGACTAAGAGACAAGATGCTGGACAGTTTGACATCGTGACATAGAAGGTAACTTAAATGTAAGGAAGAAAACTCGTGTTTTACTATTATTAGTTTTTGCAGCTTCATTTCTGTCATTCAATCATACCCTTTCCGGGTTGCCATTGCTTTGCTTAAAAAAAAAAATCATCACATTCAACCAGCATCCCTGAAGGAGAAGCTTTAGGTTATAATTGTGACTAGGTTATGTGCACCATATAAAATAGCTCAGCATTGCACACCACCAAGAGCCCTGAAAAGGACTCCTGTAGTGTTGATGCAATCAAAGGGGACAGACCCAAATACTGTCTCTACCGGCAACGAAGCCATTACCTGCGAGTCAGTGGAGACCCAGCCGCCGATATCCGTTTTGTGTTCCTGTACTTTCATAGTAATTCACATGACATCCCCTCCCGCATGGTTTAGGGACTGATCTCCTCCCGCATGGTTTAGGGACTGATCTCCTCCCACATGGTTTAGGGACTGATCTCCTCCCACATGGTTTAGGGACTGATCTCCTCCCGCATGGTTTAGGGACTGTTCTCCTCCCGCATGGTTTAGGGACTGATCTCCTCCCACATGGTTTAGGGACTGATCTCCTCCCGCATGGTTTAGGGACTGATCTCTCTAACCTGTTTAGGGTCTTACCGCATGGTTTAGGGACTGATCTCCTCCCGCATGGTTTAGAGACTGATCTCCTCCCGCATGGTTTAGGGACTGTTCTCCTCCCGCATGGTTTAGGGACTGATCTCCTCCCGCATGGTTTAGGGACTGATCCCCTCCCGCATAGTTTAGGGACTGATCCCCTCCCGCATAGTTTAGGGACTGATCTCCTCCCGCATGGTTTAGGGACTGGTGGCCAGGGTACTTGCCCACCCTTTATTGCTGTTTTGTCATTTATGTCAAGAAAAGGTCTGGCCAAAACATCATTTTTTGTGTTTTTATACATTGTTCCCCTTTTCCATTTGATCAAATGTGTTAGTCACCTTTCAGTTGTTAAATTTCAAGATTTAGATTTTGTGGCTTCTCGTACATTCCACAACTGAATATGATTAATGTTATCTTCATGTCTGCAGATCTTTTATTTGTATACTCAGTGTCCTATGTTATTTAAGAGGGGGGGGGGGGGCATATTTGTTGTCTGCCTTCTAAAGTATTCCACTGATTTAGGGATGCTAAATCTAACACATTTTGGACTACCAGGATAGAGTCGCTAATGTAGAGCCTTGGGAGAGAAATAAATTCACATGAATCTTAATGTGAGGGAAAACCACCGGCATTGAATATGACACACCATTAAGAAACTGTGATTACAGTGTAACTAGTATTTTTGCATTTGGAACCCAAACAGTCAAAGGAATAAAGGCAAACCAACAGACAAAAACATGGAGAAAATCAGAATTCAGAACTGCATGCTATGGTAAAGGGTAGAGTGGATCTATGTTGCACTGGGGATAAAGGGTTACAGAAAAAGGATATTGATTTTTTTTATATGTTGACTATTTTAAATGTTTACTGTCTAAATGTTGACTGTTGAATATTGACTATCATATTGTCATCATCAAGCCTTGCCGACTGGTACAGGCAGTCATTGTTGTCTTTATCTTGTGTTCTCCAACAGCATATACTAGTTAGTGTGTTGACACCCTTGCATCAGGCCAGAAGGATCTGTTTTTCTCTAGTGTCATTGGGAGGAATATTTTAAAGAACTTTTGAACCCGTCGGGAGTACATGAAACAGCAGAATTCCATTCAAGGGCTCCAGATCATCTAGAACCACATATCCTGCGGGATGAAGTAGAGAAAGTTATCAAAACAAGTAAAAGACACAAAGCAGCTGGTATTGACGGAATAACAACAGAAGTCATCCAGGCTGGAGGGGACACTATGATCACCTGGCTGGAGAGAATTTTCAATAGAGCATGGGCAGAGAGAAAGGTACCAGTGGATTGGCAAAGATCAGTTGTAGTACCTATTTGGAAGAAAAAAGGAAACAAGAGAGAATGTGGAACTTATAGAGGAATATCTTTACTAAGTCATGTGGGGAAAATGTATGCAAAGATCTTAGAAGGTAGGATAAGAGCAAAGGTTGAACCTCTACTGAGTAAAGCACAATTCGGTTTCAGGAAAGGGCGAGGTTGCACTGATGCCATATTTGCACTAAGACAAGTCTGTGAAAAGACACTCGAATACGATAAAGAGCTGAACGTGGTCTTTGTAGATCAAGAGAAGGCATTCGACCGTGTAGACAGAGATGTGCTGTGGAGAATTCTTGACGATTACGGAGTGCAGGGTCAATTATTAGACAACATCAGAGCCCTCTATGAAAAAAAGTGAAAAGTGCAGTAAGAACATCTAGTGGTCTTTCCTGAATGGTTCAAAGTCACAACTGGTGTCAGACAAGGATGTGTACTGTCACCATTACTTTTCATAACATACATGGATAAGATCACTGTAGAAGCAACCCAGACCTGTATGCTATAAACGAATTACTTTTTGCTGATGATCAAAGCATACTGTATCAAAATGAATATGATCTACAGGAACATCTGACTACTCTCAACAACAGCTGTTTACAACATAATATGAGAATCAGTACAGAAAAAACAGAAGTTATGAAGATCAGCAGAACACACAGGCCACTGAATATATAAATGTTGGAAGTGCCAAAATCAAGCAAACCAAAGAGTTCAAATACTTGGGCAGTATATTTACAGAGGATGGAAGAATGGACGAGAGATAGAAAACAAGAATACAGAAAGCAAATGCTGTCACATACCAACTATCACCTCTGCTTAAACATCCATGAATAACCGATGAAGACCAAAAGACAATTGATAAACACCATCTTTCCAACACTCTGACCATGGGAAGAATCACCAAGACCCATGAAAGAAAAATAGAAGTCTGTGATATGAAACTAAGAAAAGCAGCGAATAAGACCAGACTAGACCAGATGAATATAGACATTAGAAACACTGTCAAAACTACGCCATGTTTAGGCTACATAGAACATCAAAGAATGAAATGGTTTGGACGAATCTAGACCAGGAAAATAGAAACCATCAAGGCTACATAACAAAGAAATGAAATGGTTTTCACCAGGATGAACAATGATTTTCAACCAAAGAAGCTCAGGATATAAGGCAAGAGGAAGACCAAGGAAACGGTGGATTGACGGGGTCTCCGAAACCTGCCGAAAGCATGGCCTCAGAACATCAGATGCTGCCCGCCTTGCTTATGACAGGAACTTGCATCTCCCCACAACGCTTAGCGGCATACGTGGAAGGAAAAAGTAAGTAAGTAAAGTCATTGGTCGCTGAAGATGGAAATATTCAGAATGCATTGATGTGGGTTCTTAAGTCTGCTTATTCTCTAGTTGTCTTTTTCTATTCTACTGTCCATAAATCCTTCAGATTGTCACATGTTCCAGTTTTTCCCTCCTTACAAGGTGCCCAGAAAGTGATAACTGCCTCTTTCTGATGTTATCATAATGTAAATGTTTCTAAAAATGAAACGGATGGATATTGACTGTTTCTATTGTGTTATGCATGTAGCTGCTGGGAGAGCTGTTGTTGGACAGACACAACTTCAGTACAATGAACAGATACATCACCAATCCTGAAAACCTCAAGCTGATGATGAACCTGTTGAGGGAGAAGTCCAGGAATATTCAGTTTGAAGCATTTCATGTCTTCAAGGTGGGTTCTTTTATATTTATATACAGTTTACTGCCATCACGAGTCATTGTCATTGACACCCAGTTACTGCCTTCATCACAGTCATCATTATTGACACCAATTACTACCATCATCACAGTCACCATAATTGACACAAAATACTGCCATCATTACAGTCGCTATCATTTACATCAAGTTACTGCCTTCATCACAATCGCTATCATTGTCACAGATACTGTCATCATCACAGTCACTATCATTGTCACAGATACTGTCATCAACACATTCACCATCATTAACACCAGATACTGTCATTATCACAGTCACTATGATTAACACCAGATACTGCCATCATCATAATTGCTATCATCGTCATCAGATATTGTTATCACATTTACTATCACTGACACTAAATACTACCATCATTACAGTCACTATCATTTGCATCACCACCATCACTATCATTTCCACCCTTTTATAAGCCCTATTATAACTAGAATGTCTTTGCATTGGGGCCAACAGGGGCATAGAAATAAAAGCAGAAGGCAGAAAATAAAAATTTAATAAAATATTTAAAAATGAAAGATGTGTCAAAGACTAATTTCATTTCATACATAATCTAGAAAAAAGGATGGGTAAGAATTCACCAACTGTCTACCCAAAAGCATGTAGTAAGAGTTGACTAATAGTGAGCTTCCTTCAATGTCTGTGAGCATATGCTTGAGATGCAAAGAGGCATCAGTCTGCATACAAATAAGTCAGATCCATATGTGCATGCAACATTCAAGTTCTGGAACAGGACAGAGTCCAGAAGTGGACAAACAACCAGAATTGTCCGCCAGCATTTACAGCCAGTGAACGGAAAGAAGAAGACTTACAGTTCGCTCCATATCATCCCTATCAATTTTTAGCTTCACTCCCCAATTCCCTTCTTCATGTGTTTTTTGGTCTGCCTTTATTCATTGATTAAATGTTCTTATAATTTTGTATTTTAGATTTTAACAGTTATGTTTCTGATGAATTTCTACAGATTTTTGTGGCCAACCCAAACAAACCACGTCCAATCTTGGACATTCTGTTGCGCAACAAGGAGAAACTGGTCGACTTCTTGACCAGATTCCACACAGAGAGGTCCGAGGATGAACAGTTCAATGATGAGAAAAGTTATCTAATTAAGCAGATCAGGGAACTGCGAGCTCCTGAGGATGGTGATTCGTAGCCTACGTTTCCAGTGTACATATGTTCAAACTCTGTTCTGATACTGTTTGTAATAAAATTACATAGTGGTGTGGTAGTTGGTCCATCTGATAAGTTATTTGTCTGCTGGGGCAAGTTTGAGAAAGTTAGAAATTCAGATAATGAAACATCTTGTTTTTAGCCCATTTTTTTTTTTAGAATGTATTTATATGAGAGCCTGTATTTCCTTGCTTAACTTGCCATAGTAGTGACTATACATATTCAAATTTGAAGTGCCTGAACAAAAACATTTGGTGTGATAAGAGACAGGGAAATGCATAAAGTGTCTGACATTTTAATTTGTTGTTCCAATCTTCCATAGGGCTAGAATATACTTAACCCTTTCAGGACCCAAAACGATCTATTAAGTTATAGAAAGTTGTTAGCCATTAAGGTGTTCCTTTTAATGCCATTAGCACATTAGACAGCGGCTGGCAAAATGGTTTAGATTGCTGGACTCTCTTGTGTGAGACCCAGGTTTAAAACCTCGGGCTCAAAGACCCCCTGCCTCCACTGCAAAAGCAGTAAATACAGGCAGAAATGACATTTGGTTGTTGGGGGGAGGGGGGGGGGGAGTACTTTGGATACATGGCGCTACATCTATACTTGAAAGACTCTTCTTAAAGTATTTAAAAAAAATATAAAACAGTAACATTGCAATGGCTTAAAACAGAGGCATGGAGGATTGTCATCAGTAGAATTGATCCAGAACACCAAAGACTGAGATCTGTAGAGGTGCATGAACCCCTATGCCAGCTGGCAATATACTTGATGATGATGATGATCCTTGCAGTGAAAAAAAAATCATAGGTTTTATAGAATTTTGTCGGGCTCATGTCCCATGCTTGTGAAGGGTTAAGATATCACTTGTGCTAGATATTTGTTAACAATTTTGTGGTCAGTTATGAGTTTGATTTGAGGTGGTGTCATAGTGACTCAAGTGTGGATAACTCTTACAGAGTGGTCAGTTATGAGTTTAGTCTAAGATGGTTTTATAGTAACTTCAGGGTGGGTATATCACAGTGTGGTCAGTTATGAGTTTGGTTTCAGGTGGTTTCATAGTGACTTGAGCATGGATATCTTAAAGAGTGGTAAGTTGTGAGTTTGGTTTGGAGTGGTGTCATAGTGACTTAAGCATGGGTGTTTTACAGAATGGTCAGTTATTAGTCTGGTTTGAGGCGGTTTTATAGTGATTTAATCGTGGGTATCTCACGGAGTAAGTGGTCAGTTATGAGTTTGATCTACGATGGTTTTATTGTGAGTTAAGCATTGATGTCTCACACAGTGGTCAGTTTTAAGTTTGATTTCATGTGCTTTCATAGTGACTTAAGCCTGGGTTCAGGTGACTTAGACACGTTTTGAGGTAGAGTTGTTTCAGAGTGACTTGGACACATCTTAACGGCTGTTTAGATGATCCATAGGCTGTATAGATGATCCATAGGCTGTATAGATGATCCATAGGCTGTAAAAGGGATCCAAAGGCTGTATAGATGATCCATAGGCTGTATAGATGGTCCATAGGCTGTATAAGTGATCCATAGGCTGTTTAGATGATCCATAGGCTGTTTAGTAATCTGGTAATCTAATGAAGTCCACAGCTCACAGTGTCACGCCATGCACTCAACTTAGAAGCTGGGCATTGAAACTAAATCCTTCCAGTCGACAAATGGAGCAAAAATGCAACGGCCACCGTCTGGCAGAGGCCAAAAAAAATTGCCACCACGGCTAAAAGAAGTGGCAGTGCCTAGCGTCCATTTTGACCTGAAGCATTATGTGAGGGTTAATGAACGGTCACCCCAGTAGTACCCTCACTGTTAACTGGAGAAGGGACTTAGGACATTACATCCACCAGCAAACGTCGCCCCTACAACGACCTGACTGCCTTCGGTAACGACTGTTCACCCAACAGCCATGCGGGTCTTTGGCACGGAGAAGACACCTTGAACATGGGTTTCGGACCGCCGACTCCCTACAAGATGTTATGTTATTTTCTGTTATCACAATGGACGTCACTGCACATTAGGCATTCCCATGCGTGTTCAGTCCTCAAATGCAGCAGCCACTCCAAAGTACTTCTTCTAATTGTTCCCATGAAGAGATGGTTATATTGTCTCGGCCTCGAAGACGGCAAAGACGTTCTTCACTATGCTTTACTCCCATGTCACGCAAACGTGCCAGATTCAATAATTCCTCATTATCCACTAGCCCAGTTCTAGTTTAGATGATCCATGGGCTGTATAGATGATCCATAGGCTCTATAGGTAATCTGTAGGTGATCCGCTGGCTGTATAGGTAATTCGTAGGCTGTATAGATCGTCCAGAGGCTGTATAGCTGATCCATAGGCTGTATATGCAATCCGTAGGCTGGATAGGTGGTCCGTAGCCTATATCAGGGATCCGTAGGCTGTATTGCTGATCCTTGGGCTTTATAGGTGATCATGAACTGGAGTAACTCAGTAGCTGGCAGACTTGCTACCGACGTGCTGGTTATGAATTTAAATCCCATGTCATGAAAGGATAACAGGTGTGTTGCTGACCACCTCACCCATTAAATGCTGATGAGTCTGTAAATGTAGGCAGCTAGAACCATGAACCTAATAGGCTCAGGCCATGGAAATGGATCCTGTAGTTACTTTTATATGGATGATCTGTGATTGTGACATTTGGAAATTATCAAAGCTACCCACAACACCATATTAATACCATATATATATATGGAAAAGTTATTTCATATAGCTTTCTCCCTTTATACACAGTCACAATTGTTTTCCTGAAGTTTACTGTTTTGACAAATATTGTTCGCTCCATTGCAAATCATTTTTTTTAAAAGGATAAATGAAGAGGAGGAAAGCATCTTAACAACAGGCTGCATCATAAATGCTAAAATCCAGTCATGGTTTGATCAGAAGAAATTAAAGTTGGAATAAGGCTGCAAGAGAAGATCCGGGTAGAACCAATACTGAGCTGCATATAAAGATACAATAAAATTGTTTATCTGCTTAGAATACCTTGTGATGCTACGGGTAGTAAATGCAATGAATGGGTAGAAAGAAAGCATTAGGAAATCGCACTTCACCTCCCTCACCTGGATCTACACACCTCAGCGTAAATATAATGAACGAGTGGACCAACGGGCAAACAGTGCACTAACACATGTGGGAAGAAGCATGGGTAAGCAGGTACCATCAGCGCTGTAGGGACTAGGCTAATGGTTAATGACAACTCTTTGACACTAAGACAGTTGTGTGACCTGGGAGTAAAGCATATCTATGCCACATCCAAGGCAGTGACATCAATTGTAATAACATAACCTTGTGATGCAATACCTTACAAGGCAGATAACAGAAGAGAGGGATTTAAAACCTGAGGCAGTATATGAACAATCTGCAAATCACCGCAGGCAGGATAGTTTTTCTCACTGACTCACTGTCAGCTATACAGGCCCTTGAGTCCAAACCTACCGACAGCACACTACAAAGTCTAACACATGAACTTGCTATGTTGTCAGATAAGGCAGAAATTCACTTGCAGTGGATTCCGTCACACTGTGGCATCAAAGGCAATGAAAGCGCAGATGCTTTAGCCAAGGAAGGCAGTAACAAACCACAGACCTACCAGCCACTATCTTTTCCAGAAGTCATAACTCTCATTAAGAGAAAATCAGAAACAGATTGGAAAACCAACACTGGTTATAACTACGAAAAAGATTTTCTGAAACACTTGAACAGAACAGTTTTTCGCTTACGCACTGGACACTGCAGACTCAATAAACACTCACATAAATTAGGTATGAGCCAAACAGCTCTCTGCCGGTGCCTTCGTGCTGAACAGACTCCAGAACATGTCCTGCAAGACTGTCCTCTCCTGGCGGAGCTGCGGAGCGACATATGGCAACACCCAGTTGAACTGACAACTAAGCTTTGGGGAAACCTAAGAGACCTTGAAAAGACATCCCAGTTTATGACCCACAGTGGATTATGCGCATGACCAGAGATCGCTGAAGAAGAAGAAACCTGAGGCAGACTGAAAACAAAATTGAAAAGATAACATTTAAAAAATACTCTACAACAGTATCATAATTTATGGTCGAGGCTGCCAAAAGAGCGAGTTCTAATTTACGCTTTCCTCTTCAGTGTGCAAGTAGAGCCGTTGTTGCAGTTTAGGTCACTGGCCAAAGGTTAGCTTGCATTTTTGTGAAAGTGGTACCCTGCTGTCTTTTGGATGAATATTAAATGAAAAAACAACAACAAATATTGCAATTTTAAAAAATGGTCAGTGATTTTTTTTTATCATAAATGCACTAACTGGTACAGTAAAACCTTCATTTGACTATTTAGAAATTATTTTAAAGTTATTTTTAGCACTGGCAGATCATTCTAGTCTAAATGTATTTTCCTTTGCTTGATGAGTGTTAGCTTTTGTGGCTTAGGGATTGGAAACCCAGCTTTACAGCCCCAGAATACCAGGGTTTGAAGTCAGCCCCAGTCAGTTTGGTAACAGACAGCTTTTCTTTCAAGTTTTGGCAGTGACGTGAGTGGCACTACTGAGTGTAACATTGCCTGTTAAAACCAAACAACAGCCAATCAATTCTGGGTTTGGTTCACTAACTTTTCAAACTTGGAAAGTGAATTTTCTGCCTTTTGTTGCCTTCCATCTTCTGTAGTTTGATTCTCTGAAAAAGATAGAGCCTACATATCACACTGTGAGTTTTTATAATTGTTGTGGGTGTTTGCTGGTGATCTGCTTGGCAGTATTGTTGCGTCCTGTATTCTTGTCATGTTGCCAATTGTGTGCATTCCTTGGAATTTAACATTGCTTAAAATTATAATATATACATAAGTATATCCTTTATTTTTTTTTCCCACATGACAGAAAAAGGCAAAAGAATAATAATTAAAAAAAAAATTTCTTGAGAATGGCATTTGGCACATTGAGGAGAAAAAAGATAATAAACTTTGAAAGCAGAAAGCAAATGCGGGTCGG